CACTATATAATAAGAATAAAAAAATACTTAGATAAAAGAATTTCAGCATTTCTTGGTACTGATCTGCATGTTGACAATCATTTTAAAACGACTTATTGTTACTATGTTACTGCACAAGTCCGGTGGGCCGGTACCCAAATGGTTTGCTTAAAGAGCCCCACCCCTCATGCATGCCACTTTGATACGTATCAAATGGCCGTGTTTAAAAAAATCGTTTGCAGACTCTAACATTGTAGGCCCTAAATAGTCCAAATACCGATTTAATTAAACACATTTTCCGAAATAATGTAATACAGTAATAGTCTACATCTGTAGAGAGTGGTACTAGTAAGCTTCACTTCATCCTTTTAGGGCCTATACACACTTAGCGATGAAAAAGCAACTTAAGGCCTATATTTCTTATAAAGATATAGAGTATGCGTACAGTTTTCGATACATTAATAAACTCAACATAATGATTTTGATGACAGGTAAGCCTAGAATTGGAGGCCCATCGTATGATATACAATTTATAGTCCGGAGTGTGTAGACATGCCTGAGCCAATTTTTACATCCAGTCCCCCCTGGTTAAGCGCCTGCAATCTTCCATAATCTTTTGCCTTTTATGCTATCTTTACCTCTTCTGCACCTGTCTTCTTTGGGCCTCAAATGTGTGTCGCACGGCCTTCGTGACGTAAAGAAAACTTAACTCTTACAAATTACAGACGTTACTTCAAACGAGAAGCCAATTTGTCTGCATAAATATGCAAGTCTCAACCGGGTTTGCGTAGTCACGTGATACACTACACTCATCATTATTTGGAATCGAACACATTGCCATTATTATTATTGCTTTACCTTTCAGGACATAGATCTAGTTCCAATAACGCTTGTCCGAAGATTAATGCATTATTTCCCATGGCTACGCAGCCCCAGCTGTGTCCTACATATTTTGCCACATCCAGCGCAGGCAAAAACATGGTCGATTTAGATTTTATTTTCGCTGTTTACGTCTGTCCTCGGCAGCGGATTTTTTTTGGTCAAATAAACTAATAGACCTAAATCTATATATTTGTAAGAAACTAGTGTGGGTATTATCAGTGGGAGAGTTATCTGGGGACTACTGTCTCTGCCATTTTAGGTCGTCTGTCTGGTTGTTAGGTATCGATACTCGCTTCGGACTGTTGTCTCGATGGCCCGAAGTTTGAACCCTGCCCTGCTGTCATGAGCAATGAGGCAAATTCGTCATTTCTGAATGAATATCCAAAATGTACACTTCATGGCTAAATAGAATGCATAGGTGAAGGCTGCTTGGTCGTGCGGTATGTGTATAGGAGATAGTTAATCAAAAATGTTAGAGAACCACTTATACATTTTCCTCAAAGGTCATTCCAGCCCGCCTGTTAGACTAGACGCTGAAGTAACATAATTACATGAACACACTCCACTGACACAGATTCGTTCAACTAGGACATTAGATATATGCGGTCAGTTTGGTCTCTGGGGAAAGGGGTGGACAGGATGAGGACTTCGGAGAGGACAGCTTCTGCTTCTTCAAACCTTGGGGGCGGGGGGGGGGGGGGAGAAAGTGTGCGGGAAAAAATATAATGAAAAAGCAAGATGGAGCCTGGTGAAACCTTTGTGGGGCAAGTAAGACGTGTTATGGAATGTGTGTTTCTATGGTGACGGTGGGAAGAAGCGATTGGTTGTGAATGCTGCAAGATAGGTGGCGTTGTCGTCATTGGTCTTGGGACAGACGACTCCAGAATCTGAAACTGAGAAGGTTATGTTGTAATGAGTTAGATTTTGTTTAAAAAATATTATTACTAATGTCTTGAACATTGATTTTTATCTAATATCAACTTGGTTTTGTCTATATTATAATAGAAGTTATATTTAGTAGGTCTATTATTCACAAAGGATAGCTGCCTGGTCGTGCGGTTTGCGCGCTGGACTGTCGTTCGGATTTATCGATGGTCGAGGGTTCAAATCCTGCTCGCTCCCATCCCCCGTCGTCCTGCGGGAGGTTTGGACTAGGAAGTAAACTATGTTCAACTCTAAAGGAACATCTGAAACATTTTACAAAACAAACATTTTACAAAACAAAGAAGTTATCCAAATTATTTTAAGTTTTACAAGATATAATAAGCCTACAACGGTTTTGTTGTCTACCAGCACTTTGGGTAATAAGTCAACAACCGTCAAAAAGGGGCGAACATTAAGGGGCCTGAAAAGGCTAAACACATGGGCCCCATTTGGGTGATCAACGTTGGCACAAACGGGGGCCCTTAGGGGTGAGTCTGAGCTCTGTTAGGAGTTAAGTTGAAGCCCTGAAGCAAAATAGTTCAGAAAAGAGATGCCAAATTACCCGGATTCAAATACTCGACTGAAATTATTTATTTCCTGTAATAACTAACGCTGAGACCGCTACTAAGTGTTATTGTATTGAGAGGTCTGCTAGTTTTTGTCTCGGAGTGTGTGTGTGTGTCCAAAGATCACGACAAAAAAAAAATTGACATGCTACAATGTCAAGTTTAACGACTGGCTGACAGGTCAAAGTCATTGCGACGATCTAACCAAACAGGTATTAACCCAACTGTCCAATACTGTAAGCCCTAAGTTATAAGTGTGTAAGATATTGAATTTAATCTCCTAGCGAGAATCGGACAAACAGCAAATACCACGAGTTTACTAAAGTTCCCCTTTTTCAGACCTTGCGATCTTTAGGGCAGATCTACGGAGTAGATGATGTTAAGGTCATCTAGGTCTTTAGCTAACGGTTAGCGAGCAGGGTGTCATGTGGCCAGCACAACGACAAACCGCCTTTACTTTTCTTTTAACGAGTTTACAGCAATGGAAATACGTCTGTTGTTAAGGACAAATACAATAGTTCCGTTAGTTTCTTGGCTGTTTGTATAGTTCAAGAAAAAAAAAAACTGTCCTCAACGTCTTATAAATTAAAGACGTTCCTTTAAAAGATAAGATAATTACGTCACGAATCCATGTGTTCATCTAGTCGTGCATGTTAATTAGAGACCCAACTCTTTTTCTCATATTTGACGATACCATCGTTGATTTGACCCAATTAAATTAATTTTTGTCTTTTCATAGACATTAATTTGTGTCACATACAAATAGCATGCACTCCCCTTTAATTCTATACCAAAATAAAAACTTTTTCTAATAACAAAGTTATAGAAGTTTAATCATAACAGGGAAGGGAACTACAAATGAACAGAATTAACTCTTTCTCTAACCGACGATACCAGCGTTGATAACTCCAGAATGTGGTAAATAATTACGGAGAGAAAGAGTTAATAATTTCGTCGGATCATGAAAAATAATTACGGAGAGAAAGAGTTAATAATTCCGTCGGATCATGGAAAATAATTACGGAGAGAAAGAGTTAATAACTCCGTCGGATCATGGAAAATAGTTACGGAGAGAAAGAGTTAAACTCTACTAAGTCATAGGTTTTCCTGGCCCGTTCTATGCTCCAATGGCGATAGGGAATAAGAAACATCTGTACGAATTTGTCCTAGCGTTTCTTATCCAATGGATTACTGACTTTACTTCAAGAGAAAGAAATTTCTATAAATCAAATAAGAACATAAACTAAAATGTTATTTAACTTTGGTTAGGCCAATAATAGAATATGCATCCTCCGTTTGGGACCTCTCAACTCAAGAAAACATTAAGAAACTGGAACAGACACAAAATAGAGCAGTGAGATTTATAACAAACGAATGTTCACATTTGACTAGAGTAACACCTTTAGTAAAATCACTAAATTTAGAAAGCCTTCAGGACAGAAGACTCAAAAGTAAAGTAGCAATTATACATAAAACACTGAACCATAATCTTCAAATACAGAAACAAAATTTAATAAAATACTCTGAAAGACACAAAGATAAAGGTACATTCCTCATCCTATATGCTAGGACAAATTAGTACAAATACTCCTTCATCCCTAGTGCTATTAGAGCATGGAATGGGTTGCCTTAACTAGCCAGGAAAACCAGTGACTTAGCAGAATTTAAGTCATTGGTTAATATGCATGACTGAATGCGTGACGCGTAGCGTAGTACGTAATCATCTTTTTTGAAGTAACGTCTGTATTATATAAGATAAGATATCATTACGTCCCAAGCAAATAGAATAACAAACAACTCTTGAAAGCTAATCTGATCTATAGGGAAAATACCGACGCCTCTGACGTTATCTGTGGTCGTGTATCAGGTTAGTCCTTCGTGGTTCTGTAAACATAAATATATAAAATGTTTGGTTTCTTGACTTGAGTGACACTTTATCAAACGAGAAGATATGCTCTTCTATTAGACAACAGTTATCAGAAACTAACAAACAACTTATAATTGTATGTGTAACAAGCTTGTCTTGTAGTTGCATGATGGCTGTCTGGTTTCGACAGATTGCTCACATGTTCGAGAGTCTTGTTGGTAGTATAAGATGTGTTTAAGACTACTAAAGAACAAAACCTATCGCAATAACAAGATGTAAGAACTAAGCCCAGACCGTTAGAAACTTGAATAAAGTTTAACGCAGAAAGGCCACAGTCGAGTCTCTGTCCGTAATAAGACGTTGTCACCTTGAAGTCCTAACACCAACTGACTTAATACCAACAAAAAACAAGCTAAACCCCACTATTCGTGACGTCACGTTCAAAGTCCTTCAACTATGGTGCGTCTCTATACTAAGTGCCTAACATATGATACATATGAAGGTGTTTAAATAAGTGGACTGATAAAAGGTTAAATAATTGTTTTAGGAAGCTCCAGTTGATAATTTCTGCTACTTAGTGTTTACACATCTCATCCATCTCACAAGATCATGACATAATCGTGGTGACTGATGAGAAGTATTATACCTGCAGCAGGTAGGCTTAGTAACTAACTCCTTTTTCATCTAGTGGAAGTCGTAAGACGACCGTAACATTATATATATATATATATATATTTGGTAGATCTTTCGTAGAATTAATGAAGTTCTAAATAGATCAGGTGCTGAATTTAAAGAAAATCTTTATTTTTTTTTGTGCCAATTCAAACAACAATAAATAAATAAATAAAATGGAATTTGTTTTACACATATAATACATATAACAAAAGCATGTACATCTTTAACTCACAATCAGCTGTACAAAGTCTACAAGACTAGAAGCTCTTTTGTTCATTTAATAGCACGTCCAACATTTTGCGAAATAAAAGCAAAATTAATAAACAGAACAATGGCAGACAATGTCACACAATGGCAGACAATGTCACACAATGGCAGACAATGTCACACAATGGCAGACAATGTCACACCTACTTCCATTTGTAGGATGGCACGAAGAAAAGAATTGAAACCATAGACATAAATAAAAATAGACTGGCCGAAGGAAGTAACTTCATGTAACTTGAAAACATGTACATCTATTGTATTCGGATTTCCGAATTATGAAAAATAGCATGATCTTCATTCTGAGAGATTTAAAAAAAAACACTAGTGAAAATATTGTAATACTTATATAGGTTATGGCTGAAATAGATATGAATACTTAAATTTTATACTGCTTATAAATGCTGTATAATAAAGTACACAAAATTGCAAGTCACAAATTTTCGTTTCATACAACTCTTTAATCGGCCAGTCTATATTTATTTATGTCTATGATTGAAACTTACTAAATATTAAACAGATTTTTAGTTCAGTATTGTTTCATTTAAATTAAAATGTACAATTTAATTATTTACTTATATGATAAGCGATGGCAAATGCGCAAATGCATCCCGAGACAAAATATTAAGAGTTAAAAAAAACAAGGTATTATTGTCATCTCTGATCTGACGATTAGGCCAATAGGGAACCAAAACAGAACACGTGTACCTGAGGACTGAGTGCATTGCACTTGCGGGGATGGAAGAAAGGACTCAGGGAAACTCCAGTAAATCCACACGCCGGGCACCCACGCGGCTGATGTGGTGCAGAGAAGGAACACAAGCTTGTACCCCTCCCCAGACAAAACAATGGTTCAGGCCGATTGAGGGAAACTACATTGAGTTCCCAGAGTCTCAAATTGTAAGACAATCACATTCATGAACACCTAAAGATGCACCAGCATACGTTCAATGTTTTCGGCTTTGGGGCCGAATACATTTCAGACATGTGGCCACGGGCCGCTTCACATCATTAAGTCTGATGGCACCAAGCCTCTAAAGTTTTATTATGTACAGAAGATTCGAGCGACCAGGTAGCACTGCTTCACTTGATGTGGTTTGGGTAGGACAGATTAAGGTAAATACTTATTGTTTAAAACATAAGAGCTAGCTATGGTTCTTACTTCCCTTTCCATCTTTTCCCTTAGAAAAAAAAAGCCACATAAAAATGTTTTTTTTTTAGGTTTTCTATAAATGATCATATAAGGAAGAGTGGAAAAAGGGGTGGGGGGTCTTCGTTAGCTGTCAAGTAAATGTGTGTAAACTATGTGAAAGAGGGCGGGTCGCCTAAGGTTATTACAGTCATGAGCTTACACATTGTCAAAATGACTCATAAACACTGGACTTTGAATGTCTCCAATGAAACACACACACACACACCATAGACAGTGACACAGCTGACATTTTGAAAAGCGAATAGACTCACTTTCATAAGCAACATAGAACACCATTAACTAGCATGATACAATATGGGTTCTTTTGACTTGAACTAAGGGCGTTTCATAAGAGGTACCGCCAACCACACTTCGAACTACAAAAGCAATGAAGAGCTAATCGTTTAACTTTGAAGAAATTACTCTAAATGACATTGACATACCATTTAGACACAGTCATAGACAACCAATAGACACAGTCATACATCAAATAGACACAGTCACATATATATCATTTAGAAAGTCATGGGCATATCATTTAGAGTAATTTAGGCACAGTCACAGACATATCATTTAGACACAGTCCTAGACATAGCAAGCATGCATTAACATTCAAATCTAACATGCTCTTGATGTTATTTTCTTAATTTTCTGAATCATGTTTATAAGCTTTAGAAAACAACAACTTGTCAATAGCTAGGATGACATTGAACTAAGGGAATGCAAAACTGATTGCTGGACAGCTAGCTGGACCTCGGTGGTGTACGGACATGCAAAGTTGATCAATGGTTTGCAGAACATTTGGTGCACAGGAATGCATAGTTCATGGATGCACAGTAGGATATTGGTCTATTATATAAAGCAGTGTTTCCCAGGGGTAGGGGAAGACTTTGGTGGGGCTACGCTTTGCACCTCATTAATTATGCTTATTTTTTTAAATACCCATTTATTATGTTCTGTTAATATATTAAAGTGGGGGGGGGGGGGGCGGGGGGCTGGGCGAGGGCTAATCAGCATTACACAAATTATAAAAGAGGTGCACATAGGTCAAAAGTTTGGGAAACACTGATCTAAAGGAATGCAAGACTGATAAACGGGTAGCAGTAGATTGGTGCATAGAAACGCCATGTTCATCTTTGGGTAGCAGGGCATTGCTTAAATGGATTGCACACTCGATCAGTGAACTCATAACGATGTGATACGTTTGGTAGCACAAACATCAGCAGTGGATGACACCCCTGTCCATGTCATCAAAGCATTGGAATGGGGGGGGGGGGGACCACTGAGGCTCGTGACTATTATTGTAATAGGACAACATTGTAAAGGAGAATGTTGGGTGACCTTTGATAAGTGGGAAAATATTCATTAGCTTTGTGAGGTCAGTGTCATCTGTTACACTCAATCATTAGCAGTACAACAGAAAAAGATAAGCAATTATTGCATGTTGTGCAGACATTTTTTTTTTCAAAACGAGGCAAGTGATTTTTTACACACTTAAACATATTTACATACAACTTAAAAGCTCTCACTAGTATAATATCTGCCTTTATGTTGGACCGTTGGAAAGTTCACTAGTTCAACTGTGAAACACAGCACCAGCACACATGTCAGCCTGTGACGTTTAACTTAATCGGTCTAAATGCCACTACTGCAGGAGTCTTTTTTTGTTTTTGTTTTGTTTTATCGTTGTTGCCTGCTATCAAAAATATGTTCCAGTACCGCTAAGTTGTACCCCCTGCTGTTATAATTTTTTTTTTTTTTTTTTTGCATTACGATTTAATTAAAAGTACCCAGATTGAAATAGACCTCAAGATATTTAGATGACAAGGATTTTTAAAAAATCATTTTGTTTCTCAAGAGATTTGAAATTCTCTTTCATAAAATTAATTTTATATTACAGATAATAAAAAATGAAAAAAAAGTCTGTAAGACAAGTCACATAAAAATAAATATGTTGCTGAGTAACCTTTAAGGATACTATCTCACTTAAAGGCTTACAGGCCTATCCATATAAGCACGATACTCTATCCCTCCCCCCCCCCTTTTTTTTCTTCCATAAAATGAAAATGATTATTTGGCCCAGTGTCATGTAGAGTAAAGTGCGAAGTTCGAGCGCATTAAGCCCGCTGGCAGCACTTTTCAAGTTTGGATTTTTATAGCACCGTAACGGTCTGACCTATGAAAAAACTGATAGTATCTCTGAATTCCTCGTCCTTTTTTCTATAAAAATAGATTGGATTTAATGTATCACTAGGCTTAGTTAAAATTAAATACGAAGTCAAAGAGGTGTAGGGTAAGTATTGCCAAGCGTACTTTTCCTCGAGCGGATTTTTCCCCAGTTAGTAAGCTCGATCGGGTTGATGGAAGGTTCGAGCAGATCAAAGAAAATATATCTAAAAACATGTTTTAATATTTAATTTTTACTATAAAGTCATTTTCTTTTTACTCCAGCGCAAGAACACCCACCATCCATTGCACCATTTCCCACCCTCCACAACTTCAAATAGTCTCTTTAAGCTGATGAGCAATCAGACTTAAAAATAGCCTTAAGCCCATTACCCATTTCCTTCACTACCGGGTAGTAAAAAAGAATAACTCCACACCTCCTGAGTTTGACCTCACCATGAACTTAGCCTTTACAAGGAAAAGAAAATAGTATGTGTAGGAAGGGAAGAAAAAAGGTGCATGCGCAGTAGCAATATAGTAGTAATTTGGTAACATTCAAATAAAAAAGTTTTAGCAATAAAAAGTGAACTGTTCGAACCTCTTGACAAATCGGGGCTGCTCGAACTTCGCACTTTCCTATAGTCAATTCGCGAACCAGTGCACTATAAAAGAATGCTGAATGGAAAGAAACGAAGCAATTACGTCATCAAAAAAGACGCCTTCTATCACACAGACGATTTCTTGTTTGGCATAAGAAATCATGACATTCTGCTATTTAGAGTGTATCCGTATTTCTTTTTTAACAACCTTTTTATTTATTTGTTCCGCTTGCGGGCCGTTCTTTTGAACTGTGTTACTCCAAGTTCGTCTGTTTGTATCCATGACAACATAAATCCATACGAATTCTCAGAGACTTTACTCCTGGAATTTTCCTGCTTGAAGCAATTGTAAAGATAACATCTTTAACGAAACATTGATCTGGACGCCAATGACATCGCAAAAGCAACAAGGAATAACTACAACCAGACCTACTGAGAATAGTGTCTATAGACTGTGAAGTAGATTTTTTTGTTCGTAGTGGTTTTGGTTCCGAATGACTACAATATCCGCTTTATTGAGTTTATGTTTCTGTTCGTAGCCAGACGTGGAGGAACAAGCCGTCTTCTTGGTGACAGTGTTACACACTGAGCGAACTGAAATCGTCAAGATCAAGGCTAAAACAAGTATAAATAGAACCACTGCCGCCACTACCACGATCAGAATATAAGTTATATGGGCCTTGACGCCACCATCAACACTGGAAGAAGTGGTAGATATCAGACCAACTCTCTTACTGTAAAGAAACTCCAGGAATTCATCCGTTGTTCCGTTGAAGTCGTAGGCTGAAATGGTGAACAAGTTTCCTGTGTGTTGGACGCTTTCAAAGATGATCATGATGAAGGAGACGCCAGAGCACCAGGCGCCAGTATTTGGGCTGCTGGCGTTGAAGCTGAACACGTGATGTTGGGGATTAAAGGAGTACTTGACAGTAGAAATATACACATCCCAATGAATGCTTTCATTTTGTTGCACTAAGGTATAGAACAAACACATATTTTTGGGGTTCCAGCTGTCTTTTACTAAATTTATTCCACAAACTTTTCGATTCAATTCCTGTACGTTTGTAAATTTACTGCGTATGTCTATAGTACTATTATATAATCTATATGTTTCGTCACAGAAAGAATCTTCTAGAAAAAGTTTTCTACGAGGACTTTCAATGTGGACAACATCGAAATGGAAAGAGAGAAGTTCTGGGTTAAAATCTAGCTTCACACTGAGTTTTTTAAGCTGAAAGGTCAACGAGTTAGACTCGGAACACAATTCCCTCTTTTGCCATCTATTAGGATAATATTTCAAGGTGAAAATCTCTTTAACTCCGTCTAACACAAGCAGTTCGACGTTGGAGTCATTGATTTTGCTAAACTCTTTGATTTGTTGAAGGCAGACGTGGCTGCCTCCGCTGGCGATGAAAGTTATTTGAGCGCATCCTAAACTCTGCACTATTTCCGGGTTGATCTTGCTCCATACGTCGTGAGGCTGGTCAGACGGAGACACAACCTCTGTCAAACAGTTACAGGAACACTTATGTCTCGCCCAGCAAAGCTTTGTATGCCAAGCTAGTAATATTGCTAAAAGAAGGGTAGCAAACAAAGGTTGATCACGAACTTTCATGTTTACTAGATGAAGTTTACCCAGTGGGGTATCAATGTCTTCACCTGTTCCTTTTCTTTAAAGTTGGCAACATTGTGATCTAATGTTCTCTGAAAAAAAAAATTGAAAAAGTTATTTATGGGTTGATTTCAACACTTAACACACATCTAAATAGATTTGAACATTTCCAGTCAGTGCTTAATAATGGAGCCTCCTTCATGGGGCCTCTATTAAGGATGTAACAAAAAAATCAGAACAGCAATGCTATTATTATATACTAAGTTTCATTCTTCACTTGAGCCAAATTGTCTTTGCTTCAACCCTGTCATACTGTTATTCTGAAATTAAATGAAACTCAATAATGACTATTGCGAAGCCCAAGATAATCTGAAAAGACAAAGGCACACCCTATAGGCATTTCAGAAATCGATGCGAATGCGTTCGTCGGTTTTGGCGACATCCTTGCATGCTTTGCGAACCTTCGGAACTCACTGCAGACCTAGAGAGGAGAGTTCTAGCAATAGAATGGAGACAAATAAGAACAATCTCGTATAAACTTTGTCACATGTAAATTATGAGTGCGTCTGGTATGAATGTACACTTTGGTTTCTTATAGTTATAATGCTTTTTGTTTGGTGTAATGCACAAATTGTAAGACAAATTTCCATACGGACAATAAAGATTATTATTATTATCATTATTATTATACTATAGAAGCATCCTTTGTATCTTCAACAAATACCGCAACATAAATAAGGAACTTCAGAACAGGATCACAATGGCGATTGGTCCTCACGATGACCACTGTAAAAAATAAAACGCGCATTAGAAACGTGTGTCCATGTCACGAGGTTAATGAACGCTTACAACGACCTCCTTGCAGGAAACTGCAGGCTACTAGAAAAGAAAAAGAGGCAGACAGACAAATGGAGTGTAAGGCAACATTATAACCAAAAAAAAAATGTCATTGTTATAACCAAAAAAAAAAAATGTCATTGAAAGAGATTCTAGTTCAGGCAAAAGACAGAGGAATGGAGAAAGACGTTCCCCAGAATTGGTGTAGTGCCCCAACTGAAGGATAGGTAAAAGTGAAATGCTGACTATCTTGATAATACTTAATATACATCAATAGCTATTCTGAAGTTAATTAACATTTATTATTAAAAACAAACAATAACTAACCTGAAAGAAAGAAGTCATGTTTTGTGCTGTAAATTTCCTATTTTGTGACGTCAACTTCCCGTCTCTATCGTGTTTTCCTAAAAATAGAAATAATTACAACAGTCATAAGAGCATTGTTGGTCAATAATCAAGTAGTCGTGATCGATATTAATGGACCTCATTCACCAATCGTAAACAAACAACATTTAGCCACGTGGTACTCTATCTCTTCTATATAACTTACGATCTCATGTTTAATTCATGATGGTTGTCACGTGACAGTTTTTTCCGTTGTTTTATCAATAAGATTATGTCACAATTGGTCACAATGAGTAATGTTAGGACAAATAGGGCGCTATTTTTTTTTTTACAAAGCTTATATTAACTCACTACATCTATAAGTCTGTCAGATACAAATTTTGTAAACATTATTTCTCACACTACCCTGCACAATTGTTCACTGTCACTAACAAACATGAATCAATAATAGGAAATGACAAAATAAGCTCTGGTAATTAGTTCATTTTGTTTGGTATAGAAAATATTTCAGAATCGAGATATATGGCTGTAAATGTACAGTTCTTTCCCTTATTTCAGCTTTTTAAAACTATACTTAGCTTGTTTTTAATTTGCTTTTGTAAAGTCCAACTTTCAAGCATCAAGTTTGCTCAGTGCGGTCTGGTCCGATCTCTTTTGTGAACCAGTTGGGGGGGGGGGGGGGGGGAGAGGAATCAAGCTTCTGAGCTGCTTGTAAGAGAGCAAACTCTAGGCGCTTGCAGAAGCGCTCTAAAGACTAGCTCAGATGTCAGTTTAAAAAAACAACAACAACATGGCAGCTACTGACATCCAATGGACACAACTGTCAGTAGAATGCTAACAAATCACATATCTAGAAATCCAAATAAAAGAAAGACACCCCACCAGCAGATTCAGACGTAGGATATGGAACAATATATAGTTCAGTGCGGTATCCCAATATTTTACAAATTACAGACGTTTCTTTAAGAGATAATATAATTAGGCCCTACGTCCCACGCGTCTCCATGTGTCCATCTGGTCACGCTTGTTCACCAGTGACCTAAACTCTGCTAAATCGTATCACTGTTCCCATTTATGTTTCATTACGACTTCTGCAGCTGTATATGTGTAATGTATTAATTTCGCCATTTCGCCCTCACTGTCACAGAGGAAAGTAGCTGACGGCAGATGGCATCTAAAAGGGAGCTCTTACTAAGGCTCTGAGACACACATTTGAGGCCCAAAATAAAAGCCCCTTGTAGAAGAAAGGTGCAGAAGATGTCAAGAAAATGTAAAAACGACCCCGGGTGGACAACGGCTGTGTCTGCATTAGCTGTGGAAAAATATGCAGGTCGCAACTGGGTTTGTGCAGTCATGTGAAAAACTGCACTTATCCTTAATCTTCGGAATCGAAGACATTGCCATTATTATTAATGTCGTCTTGTTCTATTGTTAGAGAAATAGACACAATTTAATTTGGGGTCTTTTTTTATGCCTTTGAAAGA